ATTTAAAGAATTACTAATAAATCTGAACTTCACGGGATTTTCATGCAATTTTGGAATTGCATAAAAGAATAGTAAATTCGTACAAGAATAATCTGTATGGATATTCTATTTTTAAATGGCCTGCTTTAAATTAAATAACATTATTTTTCTTTAAAGAACTTTTAGTAAAAGTGCTTGTAGTATTAATTTCATTAAGTACAATTTGTGCATATAATTTTTTACACACAAAACCAAAATTATAACCAGCTTTTTCAATCTGGGTAATAATAAATTGTTTTTGAATTTCTTTCATTTTATTTTTAAAGACATTGAAATAAATATCTAATTTATATCTAGATAAGTTTAGGGTTCTTAATCCATTCTTTGGACATTACTTTAATAAAAGGCACAGTGCAGTTAACTATTTTTGATAAAAGAAGAGAATTTAATTTTCCCATTCTTGGTCTACCCACACCTAACAGCGTAATTCCGCGTATCATGTTAAAAGGTATTATTATATCTCAACTAAAAATAACTAAAGTATTTTCATGGATTGTGTTCTATTAATAAAAAATAAACTGAAAGATAACGGCTATAAAGACAGGCAATTAAATAAATACCTTACACTATTTTTCAATAAATACAAAAAGATATGTCAGAAACTAAACTTATAAAAATAAAATAAAGAAGGCGATAGTTATTTTGATTTATAAGTAGCTAATAACAATTTTTAAACAATTTCATTCAGTATACCGGGACGGAAAGACTAACTTCAAGTAGCTGTTTATATATTTTTAATATATATACACACTGAACATTAACTAAATGAATGTTAAAGAAGCAGACACAGACACATAATTTCATAAACACATAGAAATCATACAACATACTACAACTATATACCATTGTTCAAGATGCGTCTTCTCTAATCCCAAACATCGCAAAAAGTGAATAAATTAAAAGTAATTAGTACAGCAAGACCTACCAAAATATGGCTTAAAATAATTCTTGCGGGCCTGAACTTTAGGCTAAAAGTTGTCGCACACCGAAAGCTAACTCTTATTTCTAAATATTCTTCACTTCTTAATATATTTTAATTTTTTAATATAAGAACACAAATACCTACACTTTATTTCATTAACATATAGGAAACTCTATAATGAACATTATATTCAGTTAATATAAAAATAAAAGATACTATTACAACTTTTGAAATTTTTCAAACGAGACCCAATACTCGAGGCTCTCGAATATTTCACCGTTCTTCTTCAGGAGAATAAAGGGTTATGTTTAATGAATGTGGTGGAATATATAGGTACAGATGTTCAACATGAGCTAACCTTGAGCATTAACCAATCATAACAAAGACTTAAGTGTGATAATAGTGTTACGTCGCCGGTTTGTTAATTAATTTTCCGTAACTTCGTTCCGACGAAAC